CTATCCCTGTCCTATAGAGCGAGGTTTTTGATTTAGATTAAGCCTTAGAATAAAAATAAACCTGTTTTGTTTATGAATGTCAGTAGATACTGAGGTTTCAAAAAAAATATTTTAAACATTTTTGATCTTATAGTTTTCTGTTATAGCCCTATTTTTAAAATCCCGTTTGAGAATTGAAACTTCAGGTGTTCTGCTTTATATATTTCTCTTCTAAGGCAGACTTGATTAATGGTATTTGCTACTTCAACTACATGGCTTAGTCCCTTCATGATTTTGTAGTATGTTTTCTTTTTAAAAAATCAGCACATCTGTAGTTTCCTGTTTTTTAGTAAGAAATTTACTTACAAAATATATCAGTTACTTAATATACAGCACTTTCATTGGATGACTCAATGGTTTATGAACATTACTTATTTAAATCCCATTATGATCAATAATTTTCCGTTCATAAGATGATGAAACTGAGGCACAAAGGATTTGTGACTTGTGCATGGTCACACAGGAAGTCAGTGGCAGGGCTAGGAATGAAACAACTCTTCACTCTGTCCTGTTTTCTCACCAGCCCTTCCAGATAGTTCCCTTGTGACCATAAAGGAAGCAGGAATTTACAGCGTTGTCTGTGTGTATAGAATCTCTTCTACTGGAGAAGGGAGAGGGACAAGAAGGCTTGTGAAGTCTACCAGGGACTTTGCTATGCAGATTGAATGTACCTGGGAAGTACTTAGGCTGTGTCTACACTACGCACCTTTTAGCAACACAGCTGTGCCGCTATAGCCATGCTGTTAAAAGGCGCACAGTGTAGTTGCTGTTGGAGCGGTGGTAACTTTGTCCGCCGGAGAGCACACCTGCCCACAAAGCGCTGTTCACAACGGCGCTTTTCGTCAGCAAAACTCTTGTGGTTCGGGGTGTGTGTGTGTGTTGTTGTGGGGTTTTTTTTTTTATACCCCGAACGACAGAAGTTTTGCTGACGAAAGTCCAGTGTAGACAAAACTTGAGATGCCACAGTGATGAGAGCTATCAAAGATCCTTAGATGCAAACGGTAAGTTGCCATTACTTGTATCCTGGAGAAAATCACTCTTAGAAACGTTATTCCCTCTTGATAAATATCATTTTCCCCTAATCAGTCCCTCATAGAGATTATCTTGTTTTTCTGTAGATCCTGTAAGAGTGGTTTGGAGGGGGGCTTTTGCATTTTTTTTTATTAATTCTGAGATTTTTTCCCCTCTAACTTCCTTCCTAGATTATAATGAAAATGGAAAATATTTAAAAATGCACAGTCAGTTACATTAGTAATTTTGAACTAATGTGGCTGAGAACCTGTGAGAGGGCAATTTAATTTTCTGTTAAGCTTTAGGTGTTGAGGACGGTAATAACACTTATGTCGTGTTTCACTAAATATCACTATTCCCACTGTTAACAGTTGCATGACTGAAGCTCTTGACTCCCAGTCATGTGCCTTGTCACTGGACCATATTTCCCTCCTGCCATACATTTCTGGCAGGCCAGAGGGCAAAAGTCTTCCCCTCTTGTCTGGTGGTAGGGATGGGGTGGTATATATGTATACATACAGGCCCTGGTCTTACGGACTCTTGTGCTTTTGCTTCATTCCATGCTTGTGAGCAGCCCCACTGAAATCAAACGGTTCTTGGAACCCTCTTCTGGCTTTGAAGTCTCAGTGCTGCCTTTTCCTTCTGTTGAACTTAAAGAGCTGGACACAGAGCTCCCCCTCCATTGCAGGCTAGTGGTTACTGACCATTTTACATACTGTAAAACATTATCTTAAAATTCGCAGTTTCCAAATTAAGACCCATCTGCAAACAGGTATGCACATGACTAACTTCACTGATGGGAGTAGGCCCTGATCCTGCAAAGGGACCCGCTCAAGTGAAACCTTATTTCATCTCATTTATCTCATTCACAGTAATGGAACTGTGTGCAGGTGGGTCCCTCTACAGAAGTATGTCTAAGAGTCCTGATCCTGCTAGCCCTCTATGTGTGGAGTTCCTACTCAGTGTCTGCATTGGGAATGTTCATGTGGAGGGCTTGTAACAGAATCGGATCCTGAGTCTGATTCCTAATTCCCTCCTCCTCCACCAAATAAACCCTCAAAGAAAAGGGAGAGTCAGATACTGCATAAACAATCCAACATCAGGTTTTACAAAGTTGAATAGCAGTGCAGATGTTTGTTTCCCAAACTTTCAAGTGAAAACAAAATTTTTTTTTAATCGCCATCATCCACTGCAAACCTAGAATCTATTCCCACTACATACTGCCCATCCCTCTGGGGCGTGGGTGGGAGTTGATCACAATTTTAAAATATCAACTTTTAAATAACCCCAGATCATCTTCTTTGGCCTGACTATACAGGATCCCTCATTTCTTTCCTACCATCCCGATCTCCATCAGACATTTTTTCTCTTTCCTCTATCCCACCTGTACATGAGGTCCTGAGAAAAATCTTCTGTCTTCTTCTTTTGCCTCTGTCTGTGCCATACTCCTCAGTCCAGCCTCCTGTCTCTTCCCTTGACTTTTCCAATATTGATCCAGTCTGAGGATGGTTGGAGGGCAAGGCTGCTGCCTCCACCACTTGGCACTACAGTCTCCTGGCCACTTGGGACTCTGTCTGTTCCTCCTCATTTCCTCTTCACCTTGCTCTGCAGAGAGATGTGGAAAACGGGGTTGTGTCAGGAGGAGAAATCAGGAGTTTGTGGAAAGGTGTCTCAGAGGCCATGGTCAGAGCCTGACTAGCTATTGGCAGTGCCTCCTGCTACCATTCCATCCCTGCTGGTAGGCAAGGTGAAGAACTTTCTTCTCTCCTGGTGGCCTGCTAGGTCATAGAAAGGGAGGCTGGGGAGCTGGGAAAAAAGGTCCAGATTGCAAAGGGAGTTAAGCACCTAAATACCTTAGAGCATCTGGGCTAAAGAGGCAGACATGTTTATCTGCATTGTTTGCAATCCAAACATTGGAGCATTCTGCTAATGTCTGAGAACCAGAGTGACTGACTTGCAAACTGTGGTGATACTGTTGAATCTACTTTTTTTTTTAAATTGTCCAAGCTGAGGGAAATGCAAGAAAAAATAATAAAAACATGGCAGAAAAAAATTGCTCTTTAAAAGTCTTTCAATTGTAATAATCTGTGGATGTTATGAATAAGATCTTTTAAAAAATATATTAATTTTGACAAGCGTGTTCCCCTTTAATAACTAGTTTCGGCTACCTCTCTTATTGAAGCAGACATCAAAGTGTTCCTGAACAAGGCAGCACCTACTGTAAGCAGGCAGGCTTCATGCATGAATATATGGTGGTCTGAAATAAGCACCCAATTAACAGAGAAAACTTAGTTACTGTATCAAATCTTATATAATGGTAATGAAAATCCTGCAAGATACTCTAATTGCAGTGTAGACATACCCAAGCATCTGCTTCTGGCCTGTGTCCGGTAACACAGGCTGCTGGGGCTTGGGCTATGGGGCTGGAGTGTAGATGTTCCCGCTCAGGCTGGAACCTGGGCTCTGGGACCCTGCGATGGGGGAGGGTCCCAGAGCCTAGATTCCAGCTTGAGCCCGAATGCCCACACCATAATTAAACAGCCCCGTAGCCTGAGCCCTGCATTCCCAAGTCATCTGATACTGGCCAGACGCAGGTGTTTAATTGCAGTGTAGACAGAGCCTCTAAGTCTATGAAACATGCTCTTTCTGAGCAGACGTGAGCTGCTGAAGGGTTTACCTGCTTATCAGTTATAAATATTAACTAAAAAGTGATAGTTGAACTGAGGTTTTTTGAGGATAGGGAGCCATGAACACTAGTTAGCCCACTTGCTAAAGGATGGAAAGGGGAAGCTGCTGGCAGCCCACCTTCCCTTAGGTGCCTCCTCATTGGCCAGTTTAATTAAAATTAAAGCAACCAAAGACAAGCTGGCACTTCCTCAAGACTGTGCTCTTCTTCTTCCAGTCTCTGTCCACCCATCTTTCCTACTGGAAACTAGAGAGGCCCCTCCAATTTCCTAATCCTCCTGGTGCTGAGTGTGCTGTGTGTCTCCGCTCCATGTCTCGGAGCTTTTTTTCCTGCTTTCTCCCACTTCCTTTGCACCCAGACCTCCCCATCTCCGCCATCACACTGCCAGGTGTCAGCTGCCACCAGCCATCATCAAGCTTCCTGCCAGGGCAGTCTGGTGGTCGTGATTCTCTCTCTTTCACTCCTCTCCACTAACCTGTCTGTGTCAGGAATCCTCAAGGGAGCCTCCTTTGGGGCACCATAGCCCTTTTACAAGTGTTCCTTCTGGCGAGGCTCCAATCTGTGTGCTGTCGTTCCTTCCGGTGCTGCCGAATGAGAGTTCTCGAACATTTCAAAGCACTGTACAAATGTTGGTCAATCCTCGCAGCATCCTTGGTGACTGAGATGCACATTTCTGTAGAGCAGGGATTCTCAAACTGCGGGTCACGACCCCTCAGGAGGTCATGAGGTGGCTACATAGGGGTTGTGAGCCCAGCTGTGCGTGGGGCTGTCAGCCCCGAGCCCCTGTTAAATTTAAAATACCCCCTCCCCGTTTTTAATTTATAAGGGGTGTGTGTGGCACACTTAGAAGCTTGGTGTGAAAGGGATCGCCAATACAAAAAGTTTAAGAACCACTGCTATAGATTGAGGGCATGGCACTGAAAGTTGCCATGGTGGGTGGGTGGATGGGGTTGTGGGGGAAGCAGTTCTGAACCACTATACTCCCATTTCCCCCCCGAGGTTGAAGAGCTGTTTGAAGAACTGAGGGGATGAGTGGCATTGAACAATCTGTCTGGCCTGCCTATATAGCGCTTTTCATGTGCAAAGTGATTGCAGATATTAAACTTTCCTCCCAACACACCTGTGATGGAGAAATGCAGAATAACTCTCATGTCTCAGGAAGGGACATGGAGGCCTAGAGGCTAAGTAACTAAAGTTATTTCCATGATGAAGGCTGTCTGTCTTACATGGAAGCTTTTAACAATTTCAAAATTCCTCATGGCAGGTATCCACATCAGAAAACCCCCATGGCAACTGAGAGAGGCTGAGAAGCCAGTGGATTTGGAGACTGGCTGGCTGGTCCTCTTTCCCCTGGATGTGGTTCATCCTGACTGGGTAAAGGCACCTAAATGAAACAGCATGGGGCAGCTTGCACTACCATGGTTTGTGTTGCATCTTTCTGTGAATGAGCAAAAGACTTCAGCCCTTAGGGCTGTCCATCCAGCATCTCCCCTAGCGCTGTGTTCACTGACTGTGTAAGAGAAAAGAAAATGAAAGGTACAGTCTTGCAGAAAATGAGTAAACATTCCAGAAAAATCCTAAAATTGCAGAATCCACAATTCAGTTGTGCCAGTGACTTTTCTCTTTCCTCCCTAAATCCTGCGCCTGCCCAGTTTTTCTCTTTTCACCTCCAGCAAAAGCAGCCTTCAGCCAAACAGCATGAACCAGGATTTATGCATTTCTAGGCAGCTAGGAACAAGTATGATGATGGATTCCTTCAGCAATGCTGGCTTTTAACATCCATCCCTGAAACTTGGATGGCTAAAGAAAACACACTTGCCTCAGCTAAGTGCAAAGAAGTGAAAGATCTGTTGTAGGAAGGGGAGGAAGGAAATCAGTTTACAGAGGATGTTAAAAAGCGGAGTTATTTACTACAGTAGTTGTACAGGCACTAATGCAACAATGTGTAAAATGACAGATGTTACCCTGTGTATTTGAGAGAGATCTATCAGGCCCACTTTTCAGAAATGAAGTTAGAAACCAATCTAAACTAGTTCTTATGCTGTCCCTTGAGGGCTGGTAGGATAAAGAAATATTAGAATAGACGTTTTCTCTAAGGAGGACTGCATGGCTCCCAGAGTTTTTTGGTGAGAGACACAACCTTCCACGTTGGGGTTTCCAGTTGAAATCTAGATGAGTTGAGGAGTGTTTGAAGATTGATACCTCAGGTGACTCTTTGACGTTTTTTTCATGTTAGAGTAAAATAAGTTAAAGGCCTGATTTATTTGTCAGAGGTGCTGAGCGCTAGCAGCTCCTGTTGACTTCAGGAGAAGTTTTGGACACTTAGTGGTTCTGAAAAACAGATGTTAAGTTTTGTGCTGCCCTCGGATTGACCCTTATTTTAAGCATTTTAAATTCTTCAGAGCTAAAGGCCTTCTTCCAGATCTGCCTTTTATATACTGAGTAGCATGCTTTGAAGGAGGTCACTTGGACTCTATCTTCTTCTTTGTTGGATTGATATTGCTACTTAAAACAATTTCCATCGTGTACTGGAGTTATAGCTAAAAAGACGGGCTGTTTACACAGTCTAATACTATTGCTAGATTATTTACAAAAATAGGAAAGTAGAAAAAAGAAAAGTGAAACATGCTTTGGAAACAATATACCCAGCACTGAAATAGAAATGTAGATCAACAAAATAAATTTAGATCGACCTGCAAGTGTAAGATCTTAGCCCTTGGATTATTCCCTCCCCCAAAACTGAGTGGTCTTTTCTACATGTACAGGTCAGCACCAGTGCAGCTACACCAATTGATGGCTATTAATGGTGGAGCCTGGGCTGTTCTGGGCATAAACAAGGCCTTGGTCAAAGTTTCAACGGTGCCACCATTGGTGACTTGTGAAATCAAACGTATCTTTCTTTGCCTTTTGCTTTCTGGCACTTACTGAGCTAGATACTCATTCAGCCTACTTGCCAGAGGAGATGGACTTCATCTCTGTTCCCAGCAAAGGCTGATACCAAACTGAATCTGCAGTTTGGATCCCCAAAGATCACCTCTACAATCTGCCTCCTTAACCATGAGCTTAGACTACCTATAACTTCCAAATTCCTCCGTGTGTGTGTACGCATGTGTGTTACACACGTGTGTAAAAATATATATACAAAGTCTGCCTATTATATTATTCTGAGTATGCTGTCAACCTGCCATGCAATTCTTTCCACAGTTCAACAGTATAGAAATAACAAAGCCAATGTACGTCTGGCTTAGAATGCAAAGGGATCAATACTAATTCATTGGACTTACCTAAGCATGTGTGAGTTTAAACTTACAGCAAAATCAGTTTAAACTACTCCCTACAAATAAAATTAGAAATGGTTTGGTCAGACATAGACCAATCAGAAATTGTCCTTCCAATAATTCCCCCTGAGTCTTGGCTACAATTTATTTGCAATCTGATTAACAATGAATTTGACACATACTGAAAATTGGAGCTCAGGAATGCTGCAGCTGAATTGGTGCATAAATTGAAGTTCTAAAGAATATAATGTAATTGATGCGCAAACATAAACCAATAACAAACCTAAATGAAAGGAGGCTGGTGCCCTCTCAAATGGAAATTGCCAAGACCTCTGCCATTGGAAAAAGGGAACACTGAGTCCCTGCACCAGCACATAGAGATGAATCTAGGGTCAGATTTTCAAAAGTGTGCCGATTTCAATGGGAACAGAGCTAGGCTAATGCTGAATGCCTTTGAAAACGTCACACTTGGGGGGGAAATGCCTGGAATGTGGGTTTTTTTTTTTTTTTTTTTTTTTAGTACATATCAAAGGTTATCTGTATTGGTGTGAGTCCGCTGCACCTTTGCTGGACAAGGGTGTGTTCATTGTAGTACAGCTGTGACCCTTCAAACAAAGAGCCAAACTCTCTCCTATGCAGATATTTAGGAGTAGGCAACTCAGACCCATCGATCCTGGGCTTCAGCCAAGAGACACAGTGTAATTTGGAAGTGTGGAGCCCCATCCCTCCTCCTGGGCTGGCTGTGCTCTGGGTCAGTGTTATGCTGTCATGAGGTAGAACAGTCTCAAGGTGGCACTAAATTACTCAGGCTGTCAATAGCCCCAAGCCCCGGCACACTTCCTATGATGGAAGCGGGGAGGGGAATGGAGTAGGAGCCACTCCTCTGTGTTGCTGGAGGATCCCCTGGCAATTGACTTGTGGTCGGGTACGTTACTATTTGACTGCTCTGTGTTCGTGGCCTGGCACAATGTGGGCACAGCATAGCTGAGGATCCAGGCCATTGTTTCCATTCACTCTGTTTCCTGTTTATTTGTTTGGATGAAGTTGGCCCCCGCTGTTGTTTACTAACGGATCCAAGAGCTGTGTGACTCTCCAGAGGTTCTTTGCATCTACACATCCACCCTGCTAACCCGTCTCTTCCAATATCAGCATGATTCTTGCACCAGCGGTGGCTGTTGCGCCTTCCTTCCCACCCCGTTCATGCCATGAAGTAGCAGTCACGTAGGGAGGGGTAACAGATAATGATGCGTGAGGCAACATTAAAGTCTGGCCAGATAGCCTCATGGGACTATACTTTGGAGAGAGGGGCCAGCTTCATCCCCCCCAGACCTGTGAGAGCTCAAGCGATGAGAAGCACTGCTGGAGTTGCTTCTCGTGGGGTTGTGGAGTCTGCTGTGAAATCAGCCCCCTCCGCCTAAAAACCTTTCAAAAAGGGCCCAAGTGACTTGCCCAAGATCACAGAGGAAAGCCCTGGCAAAGCAGAGAACTGAACCCAAGTCTCTCACGCTCTAAACACTTGGCCATTTGTCCTCTCTGCTGAGCTACCCTATTGTAAATAGCAACAGAGAGTCCTGTGTCACCTTTAAGATTAACAGATGTATTGGAGTATAAGCTTTTGTGGGTGAATACCCACTTCGTCAGACACATGCGTCTGAAGAAGTGGGTA